ATTACCAATATGTGCAGCAGCTGTAGCTAAGGAATTCGGTTGGAACAAAACCGATTCAGTACGTCTGCACTCATCGACTAGTCGCGCACACGTTTGCGCGCATGCAGGTTAATCGATAACTAAGTACTCATCTTTAGGGTACGGTATTATCATGTTTCTTCTGGGGTTACGCCGTAACCCAACTGATAGCCGGAGGATTTGCCGATGCTTTTGGTGGAGAGAATATTTTACCGATATCTAGCCTTACATGGATAGTGTTGACATTTTTTACACCACAACTTTTTGATTTTGCTTATTGGTGTGGATTTCCGCTGATTGTACTACTATTGACCAGAATCCTGACTGGAATTGGACAAGGTACAATAGCACATGAAATGTTCTTCAAATTATAATAAAACATACAAGTTCAGCATTCCATATTCCTTCCATGGCATCAATGGTTAGTCGCCATCTAACTGCGGCGGACAAAGGACGAGTTTTTGGCATTATTCTAGCTGGATCTCATTGCGGGTGAGTGAAATAAATTATGGAGGTCAATTGATAAGGATGGCATTGCAAGAAGAATAATTTGCTTGGTCAATAAACAAGGTAGATGATGTTGACTGACAAATTAGGATGCTGAAAAGCTGAGCGAGAATGCGGCGTAGCTGTTTGTCTGGGCTGTCAGTGAGTGCTAAAAGTGAAGTTAGGAACTCGGAATGAGCTTTTTCAAGATGACTAAAATGCGTAAGGCGTAAAGCCAGCATAAAAGAAGTTGAGAGCAACTGTATCCTCAAACCGATATTTTATAATTTATGGTTGAGAGCGTAAGATCAATCGCACAATTTTGGGGTTAAGAAACCCATTTTCATGCGCACTGGTAAAGCATGCAGATTAGGCAGACCTTGGAGATGTGATCCGAATCAGTGTAGGGGAGAACGGCTGTATTGTATGAAGATGTAAAGAAATTTGTTAGAGCATAAGTGTTTTCTATTAAAATTTCCTTTTATTTTGTTTTAGAACCGTCCTGGCCGGCTCGATTGGCTCCCTGCTGGTTGAGAAGTATGGTTGGAGAGCACTGTTTCAGTTTGTAGGTTGGAAATCATTCTGACCATTTGATCTTCCTTTTTTAGGCTATGATCTTAATTTCGCAACTTAGGTATTCTATCATTAGCGTGGTATTGGTGCCTGCATTTTGTGCTTTCACGTTCATACAATCGGCAGCAGTTAACATCATCAAATACGGAGGAGGAGATGTTCTTAAAGGTTAGTTTTACAACTAATGTGAATTACTGTGGTTCTTGCATGCTTCTACCCATAAATGTCATTTCACTTTTTAGGATCATCCGGAGCAAAATGGTCATATGTCCCTTTCCGGAATTACTATAGTGTCATCAGCTGTGCCTTGGAGGACGTTATTCCAACATCCGGCGTTCTGGTAAACCATAAAATTTGACTAACCGTGTGTCGATGTGGAGCAGTGAATGAGTCAAAAAATTCGCAAATTAATCAGATCTGTAAAAATTTTCCT